GCATGTGGGAGCTGCAAGAATTCGCAGAAGGCCCAGGAGCTGGCCAGGTCAGAGCAAATAGCCCTAGGCACCTTCAGACCAAAAGGAGACCATGGCAGAATGGTGTCACCCTGGAGGAAGCCAGTCCCTCCCCTTGTCCCTTCAACTGGGTCTCATCAAGGATCCACCAGTTGGCACCCTGAGACCACCCTTGGCCAGGGAAGACAGTCCTGCGCAGTCCCTGTTAGTCAGCTTTTAACAGCTGCCTGAATGGAACTTGGGTAGTGGAAGGCAGGTCAGTGTGGCCAACATCTTCCCACCTCTTTCTGTCACCCTGGCTCCCATCAAGGCATGGCTGGGGCTGCCCTCCTGGCCTGGCTGACCTGTGTCAACCAGTTTCTGGGTAGGCCCTCACCGGTACCTCAAATCCCAGACTCCTCCAGTGTCCTGAGTGCCGCAAATGAACGGGAATGTGGCTGAACCATATGCTCCTGAGCCATCTCATGCCCCTGACATCTACGCTAAGGCCAGCACCCGACCTCAGCTCTTTCCCAACTGTGTGGCCTCCTCTAGGAAGCCCTGTCAGAGCTTTGACCCATGCCTCCCTCTGAACGCCTAAGTGATGACCCAGTATGCCACCAAGATCTCTTGACCTTCACTGTGGCTTCATACCATACTTCTTTCCAGGTGCACGCAGCTAGCCTCTCCAGAGCTCCCGTCTACGGCCAGACACAGCGTCTCAGATTGGCTTCCTGCACCTTCTGGTAGCTGGAAGCTGCATGTTAGGCCCCTGCTCCCTCTTCTGCCCAGCACACAGTAGGGAGCTTGTGTTTGGTGAGTGGATGCTGTGCCACAGTGCAGGGCATCCATCCCTAGATGAGATATCCAAGAAGGACAGAGTTGGAAACGGTCCCATGTAGAAAGTAGGCCGCATGCTAGGACATCAAGCTTCTTACAGCTGTCTGCTTACCTGCATTACCCAGGAGCCCCTGGAGTGCCTGTCAGGCCTGGTGATTGACCATGGCCTACAGCCATAAGTGCCTCAAGAGAGCCTCAGGCTTGGGAGGCCCTTCACCAGCAGCCTCTGGGTCCAGCTCTTGGCCTCGGCTCCTGTGTGAACAGAGCAGGTAGGTGCCTCAGAGGAGCCAATGTGTCTGCTTGATTCTCTCTCCTGCCTGATACAATGTAATGCATCCATTATTACAGACCCCTGCCCTGGGCATATCCTGGGTTCTGTGGCCCTGCACCACAGGGAGTCCCATCAGCAGAGTCCCATGGAAGGGAGATTGGAGATCCCTTCCCTCAGAGACCCCAAGGAATGACGGACAGGCGGGTCTAGAGGGCCTTTCCCTGTCCTCTTGCCTCTGCAGAGAAAGAGCCTGGACCGTGGAAGGGAAAGGAGAGGGCAGAAGAGAAAAGGGGGGAAGAGGAGGAGAAAGGAAGAGAATAGGTAGCCGGAAGGGAAGGGGGAGGGGGAGGGGAGGGGAACGAGGAGGGGGAAGGAAGCCTTGTGCTACCAGGCATGCTCTTCTCAAGGCTAAGGGCAGAAGGCATCCTAGCTGGGGCCCCACAGCAGGCCCCTTCTGGAAAACGTCTAGAGACTCGGTCTATTTTTGCTCTCTGACAACAGAAGCCGCGCTGTGACTTATCTCTGACACAGAGAGAGCTTTGTGCCCCTGGTTCCACGGTCCCAACCCCCACCCCAAGTCCCAACTCAAGACAAAAGCAGGGCCAGCACGTTGCCCCATCTGTCTGAGTCAGCACCTCCCAGGACACGGAAGCCAGCCAGGGTCAGGGCTTCCAATCTGATGTGGGACATCATTCCTGATTGCTTCCACAAGCCCACACCGGTTCTTGCTTCAGGCACCTTTGCCCATACTCACTGGGGCTGTCTCAAGCCTCCCCAGTCCCTCTAATGCTTTGAGATGCACACTTGCCCTAGGTGGGGACATTTCAGTTTCTCCAGGGGAACCCTGTACCTCATCCTGAGACCTGAGGAAAGGGAAGGGAAGTTGCCAGATAGTTTTAACACAGGAATGAGAGCTTAAAGGACCCTGCAGGATATGTGAGTAGCCACTGTGGGACTCTGGCTGGGTAGGGACAGCTGTGCTTCCCCGTAACCAATGACAAGCCTGGAGGAGTGCATGCTTGCAACTCCACATAGTAGGCCTGCTGCAGATATCGGTGGCCTGGCTATATCACCACAGCCAGGCAGGGCCAGACAGGGCCAGGCAGGGCCAGGCAGGGCCAGGCAGGGCCAGGCAGGGCCAGGCAGGGCCAGGCAGGCTGCACTGTAGTGCCCTGTGGCTCACAGTATCTCCGAGAGCTGACCTCAGCCTGAGCTGCCTCTCCCCTGGCAGGATGGTCTCTTGCTTCCTCCACCCTGACTCACGCTCTCTTCCAATGCCCGTCACTGCTCATTGGCTTTGCCTCTTTTTGTACCTCACTAAAATAGATTCGCTGGACAGTGTTGTTTGCATCTGGCTTCTGTCACTTGTCCTGGAAACTTGGAGGTGTTCCCTGGTGTTGCACGCTCATTTTCACCATTGAGTAGTGTCCTGTTGTGTGAAGGTGTGTGAAGGTGCCACCTATTTATTTGTCCCATTCCCCCTTCAAGAGCATTTGAGCTGTTTTCTGGTTCTACTCACAAAGTGGTTCTAAATGTCTGTCCATATCTTTTTCTGGGTGCCTGCTTTCATTTCTCCCAGTAAGTCTGTAGAAGGAGAACCATTAGGTCCAGAAAGAACAGAGATGTAACACTATGAAAGATAACCGAGCAGATCCAAGCTGCACCCTCTACGGCTCCCTAGTGGCTTAGATTCTCTACCCAATGTGAACTACCATCCTGAGGTGCTCCAGGTGCACTGCCCTGCCCTTCTGCGTGGGTTTTGTGAGCCAGATGCCCCTTAGCACTGAGCACCTTCCTTCCTGTCTGGGTTAGGCTGCGCACTGGTATCTTAGACTCTACCGCCAGTTTTGTGTATTTGTTCAAAGCATATCATCAGAGAATGAGTCTGGTACCAGCTATGAGACCATTTATCTGAGCCCATCATTTTTGCTTCCCAGTGTTGCTGGAACCATAGACAAATTTATGACTTGCTAGGGAGTGCTGAGGGGGTGTATCTTAGTTAGGGTTACTATTACTGTAATGAAATACCATGACCTTTAAAAAACAACTTGGGAAGGAAAGGGTTTATTTGGCTTCCATATCCTGAATCACAGTTCACTGAGGAAAGTCAGGGCAGGACCTCAAGCAAGCCAGGAACCTGGAGGCAGGAGCAGATGCAGAGGCCATGGAGGAGTGCTGCTTGCTGGCTTGCTCCTCATGGCTTGCTCAGCCTGCTTTCTTATACAACTCAGGACCACCATCCCTGAAGTGGTTCTACCCACAATAAGCTGGGTGCTCCCACATCAATCACTTAAGAAAATGCCCTACAGTCCAGTTTTATGGAGGCATTTTCTCAATTCAGTTTCTCTCCTCTCAGATGACTGTAGATTGTGTCCAGTTGGAATAAAACTAGTCAGCACAAGGAGTTTGAAAATATCCAAATTTTTAACTTTCTTTTAAGTTTTGAGATTATAGTTATGACATTCTCCCTTCCCTTTCCTCCCTCCAAACCCTCCCATAATAGACTCACGTGGATTGATCATGATAAGTGGCGCCCAATGTGGGGCACAAACCCACAGCCCTGCGATTAAGAATCTCATGCTCTTCTGACTGAGCTAGCCGGGCTCTGCAGAGCAAAGAAACTCACCAGCAGCTGCCCGAGTGCCTTAGGGTTCACTTATTATAATCAATCTATGTGAATCTATGAAATGCGTAACAGGATTTTTAAAGATATAAATTGAGGAAATGTACTCACAAATACAGAACAGAGTAGACAGCTGAAGTTGTCCTCTGATCTGACCAGGAGTGAATCCACCTCACAGGCAGGAGCAGGGAGAAGGGGCATGTGACCCTTCTCCAGCTCCTTATAGGAGGTCATGTACAACAGCTGGAAGCACCACCTCCTTTGGGCCCTAGAGCCCAAGGTCATGGGCGGAGCAAATACCACTATATTCCCATGTACCCCTCCCCACTCTCCTTCAAATTCAGGGCTCTTTTTTCATTAATTGTTATTGTATGCATATATATACATACATATATATTTGTAAATGTTACCTGTTTAGTTCATATGTATTGCTTGTAAGTATGTTTTCAGGGCTGACCATTTGACACCAGACAGCCATTCGGTGTGCTTTTGCCTTGGGAAGACCACCTCTCCACTTTCCCCAGTTGCCTAGGGTTGTGTTGGCTTGAGGTCTTGCAGGCTTCTCCCTGTCCACTTTGGCATGCCCTATGGTATCATCCTCATGCTCACGTTTCTGCAGTCATGTTGGTGAGATTTTATGGGTGTAACTTTTGACGCTCTTAGGAGACACAATCCCACAGCAAACTCCCTGATCCTCTGGCTATTACAATCTTTCCGCTCCCACTGACCCTTAGCTGTGGGAGTGTTCTGTAGACATTATCCACTGGGACTGGGACCCACCACTCTGCATTTTGATTGGGTGTAGTTTTCTGTAGTGGTCACTGTCTCTTGCAAAGAGAAGTTTCTTTGATGAGAGGTGAGGACTACGCTTACCTGTGGGTATGATGTTTATAGAATGTTGTGGAAATTATGCTGATTTAGTGAAGCAGTGGTTAGAGATTCTCCTCTAATAACCATGGTTTCATTAGCAGCGAGTAGTTAGGTTTCCAGTGTCAGGTATGGTTTCTCTTTTGTCGAGAGAGTTTTAAGTCCAAATAGAGAACTGTTGGTAACCACCAA